CCTGAAGTTTATTCTTGCTTAATCCAAGTGTTTTGTTGGTTTTTTGTGTCCCAACTGTCTTACTTCTTGTCATAGGTACACTTGACTACAAGACAATTACAAAGATTATTGCACATACAATTTCAAGCTATCATTGAACAAACATTAAATGAGACAAATGTGTTACCTCTGTCCTAGTTCTTGTCATAGGTGCACTAACTGCAAGGCAATTGCATAGATTATTAAGCATACAATTTCAAGGTATCATTGAACAAACATGAAATGAGATAATGTTACCTCTGTCCTACTTCTTGTCATAGGTGCACTCAACTGCAAGGTAATTGCATTGCATAGATTATTAAACTTACAATTTCAAGGTATCATTGAACAAACATGAAAGGAGACAATGTTACCTGTAAGTCTGATGATTGTGAACCATGTGTATGATAGACAACAGACTCTTGAGTTTGTCCACAATTGCCATCACCTGTCTTCTGACTTGTCTTCATCTTCTTTGCCTACAATAAATATTGCATATAAGACATTCAACACATAAAAAGTAAAATAAATAAATCAATATATACAAAAATTATAAATTAACCTTATTTATTGCCTCAACTGTATGTGGGTTGTCTTCCTTTTTGAATGGGCATCCCCTCATGTTATGGTTTTCCTTGTGACAAAGGGAACATTTCACAGTGGTCCCTTTTTTGCTAAGCTTAACTTCAACTTTCTTCTTTTGTTTTCCCTTCTCTTGAACCTCCTCTGAGTCCCTCTTCCTGTTGTGCTTTTTTGGTCTTCCAGGCATTTTAGATTGTAATGGAGGTTGTAAGTGCTGCACATCAACCTTTGACCACTCATCAGGTGGATTCAATGCCCCCATCATACTTGAGTAGGCCTTTAAAAAGGTCTCTTTTCTATACCAAGTGTCCACATAATCTTCTGGATTATGTCCCAAAAAGAATAAGCCACTGATTGCATGTTTACATGGTATTCCTGTCAGCTCCCATTTTCTACATGAACATGTCCTTTCTTCCATATGAACTCTAAACTTATTGCTAAAGGGCCCTTCTACCTCAAACTCATGCATCCCATTCCAATTTTCTATGTACTCCATGGACCTCTTTTGAGTTCTTCTAGCAGCTTCACTATCTTAGGACAGATCACTCCATCATACTTCATCATTTGATCCCTCCTCATGTAGGTTCTTTTCATAAGTATCAACCTAATAGTTTCAAGCATATGAACTATAGGACTACTTCTAGCTCTCAAGATCAAAGAGTTGAAGCTCTCACTGAGATTGTTCAACAGAATGTCACTTTTGGGTTGAAAACTGAAATGTGACTTTGCAGGTCTTTTCACTAACCATTCAAAGGCTTCTTTATCTCTATTTTGCAGTTCAGTCATGGCAGAATTGAAGTCAACAACTCTTGTAGACCTAGCAGCTCTCCACAAGATATTTTTCAGAGCAAGACCTCTAAAAGAAACTTTGAAATTATTGTACAGATGCTGCACACAAAACCTATGCTCAGAACCAGGCATGAGAGCCTCAATAGCATCAATCAAACCTTTTTGTTTATCAGACATTATAACCCAACTATGGTTGTTCTGAATACATAGGTCTGTTTTCAACAATTCCACAAACCAATTCCATGAGTTCTTATTTTCTTGTTCCACCACAGCATATGCAAATGGGTACATGCAATTATTTTCATCTATGCCTACTGCTGTTAGCAAGATCCCACCACAAGATATTTTCAGATGACAACCTTCTAAACAAATAACAGGTCTGCAGCCTTCCCTGAGACCCCTTTTCAAAGACCCCCAACAAATATACATTCTCTTGAAGACTGGCTTACCATTCACCAAGGTGCTCATAATTTTGATAGTAGTGTCAGGGTTTGACCTCATGATTTTCTTAGCATATGACCACGACATTCCATATTGCTCAGCATTTGTTCCCACGCCTATTTCTTTCACTATCTTCTTTGCCTGATACATTTGCCACTTGCTGAACATCAACTTCACTTCCTTTTGCATAATTGCCATCATACTCTGAACTGGCCAAGTAGGATCACTAAGCAACTTGTCTTTGTATTCATTGGCTATCCATGAAGCAGTAGCATGAGAGTTTTTCTGTGACCTTGGACATTTGTGCCTACCATTGTAGGTCTTAACTTGGACAGTATCTTCATTATTTAGCTTAGATGCATAAATGACCCATGGACATGATTTGTGTTTACACTTTGCCTGCATCTTGTAGCTAAAGTTAATGGTGAAAGTAACTTGTCTACCATTTAAAATTGAGTGATTCCTAACAGCCTTTTTGAAAGTAGGAATGTCAGGGAATTGCATTCCCAACTCAAACATTGGATTTTTCATGTCCATTTTATGGTTAAACACTGGATGTTTGTTTTGCTGCCTTTTCAAATTATTATTACTACTAGAACTTCCAGTGTCAGGTATATTAACATTAAGACCCCCCACTCTACCTCCTCATCAACATTACCATCAAACAAAACATCATCTTCATCATACAACTCTTCATCACTCTCAACTGAAGCATCTGAATACTCAGAATCAGAGCCAATTGACTGCTCATAGTCACTATCAATCCCTGTTCTATAAGATATATTCTCTAACCCCTCATTAACTTCATTTTCAACACTAAAGCCATCACTGTCCCCACCATCACTGTCCCCACAGTAATTTAAAGGTTCATCAATGACAAGAAGTTGAGAAAAGAACTCTTCATCTAAGTCATTTTCATGTTCTACATAAATCCCAATCATCCTATTCTTGTCAACCCATTGAATCATGCAACAAACATCACCATCAGTTTCAAGAACAGAAAGATCATGACATTCAGTTGGTTCTGTTTTACTGCAATGGAAGGACTTAATCCTAGATAAACCAAGTTTCTTAGTTATACATAGAATTTTAACCATTGATATTTCATCAGGGTCACAAAAATCAACATGACCTATAGCTACATTTCGGCCAGTGTACTAAATTCTACCGCTATAATTAACAAATGAACCATTGTGATGAAATCTAATACTAAATAGCTGCGACTTAACACCTGCAACAAAATCAGAAAGGAAAAAAAAAAAAAAAAACTGAAAACATCAAATCCCTAAACCATCCCAGAAAGTGCCAACATTGTGTAATAAATTAAGTGCAGCAAACTTACCGTAATCTGGGAAGAATCTATTAGTCGTAGTTGTGCATTGCTCATGAATTTTCTAAACCATTTCGCTGAAGAATCAAAGGTTTAGGGTTGCGAAAATGGGGAAAATAGCGAAATTGGGGAAATCAGAATATGAGAATGAAAAAATTGGGGAGGAACGACATATTAATAATATAATATGAGATAAGATAACAATTCTACCCTTAAGCTCCGCCGGTTCGGTGGCCGAGGTTGGTATTTATGAATAGCGTATAGTTGGGATTGCAATTTATCAAAAATAAAAGATTAGGTTGCAAAGCCAAAAAGACCCCAAAGTTCAGGTTGGTCAAAAATTTTTTTCCCTAAAATATATCATATTTTTAATTATTCTATTATATAATATTTATTTCTAAAACTAAACAGTTATAATTCACACTACTTATATATGAAAGTTCAATAAGTATAAAAAATTATATTGCAAATTTTTTTCTTAAACTCTTAAGCATTTTTTTAATAAGTTAATTGGATTTAGTGGTATAATCAAGCCTATTAGATTTTGAATTAAAAAAAATAATAATAACAATATTTAAAAATACATTATCCATTCAATTTATGCATTAAATATAGTCAAAAAGTTGAATAATAATAATTTTCAAAAATATATTATCCATTTCATTTTATGCATTCAATAAAGTCATAAAGTTGAATATTTTTATAACTTTTATTGTTACTAGTGATTTAATTTTTAAAATGTGATACTATTATCAAACTTATAATTTTAATATTATATACATACAGTATATAATATTTAAATATCTGGGCATATGCACATAATTAAATATTAGTATATTGCTAATATGTAAAAATAAAATCAATTATTTTAATTATTGTATGCATCTCAAAGATCGTATGATGAAATCATCAATGTAATGTTACCAAAGAAATTAAATATTATGTTTTTCAGCAAATTGATTGGTCATGATATCTCAAAATTGCAAATATTATATTATTTATTACATTTTATACAATAAATATAGTGATTCATATGCAATCAAATAGCTACGTACCATTTATTTTAACCAATGATCAAAATTTAAAACATAATACCATTATCTAACTTATAATTTAAATATTATATGCATAAATATAACTTATAATACTCTATGTTTAATATTTATTATCATTATCTAACTTATAGTTTTAATATATATACATATAAATAATTTATAATACTTTATTTGTCTGTGCAAATGCACATGGTCGAATCTTGGTTATACATTATAAACCAAGTCTACAATATGAATCATATTAAAACACAATTAATACTTTTAAAAAAGACCATTAATATTCAATATATTTATAGATATTTCAAGCTTAGCTAATTTTCGATCATAAATAAAATTAAATTTATCTAAGTCAAACGACAGAGCTTGACAATTTGTGAATAGGATTCCAATGTGTGGAAGTCCTGCCATCAAGACTCTGTATATTCGAGAATTATATATAGGAGGGATTCTCCCACTTAAAAAAATTAAATAATAGAAAAAAAAATAATCAAAGAAATGGAATAAGTATTAATAAACCAAGCTATAAATAGAAATATAATTTAACGAGATCTAGTAGAGATTAATAATACTTAAAAATTGTCAATGCCTAGTTTTACTAATTCAGCGGACAATCCAAAATTTTTAGTTGGCGACTTGAAATTTATTTCTCAATTTCGATTATCTTACCATTCAACGAAAAATGAGAATAATTGAAAAAGAGAAGGAAGAGAAAGACTAAGAAATCCAATATAATAATTAAATAATAGCAATAGAATTGAAAATAAATATAATAAATAGAGAGAGAAATGAAGGTCGTCCACAAGGGCGAATACAGACAGTACTACGTCCCCAAAGCCATAGCCCAAAAGCCCTTTGGCTTTGATTTTCTCTTACAACCACTGCCAAATAACTGAAACTAAAGAACTTCCTCCTCTTAACCAAATAATATACTGTAAAAAAACAGAAACAAATTCTTGAGTTACAGAACATGCATATATACCTGTAGAGCGCCGAGGAAGTTCGGATTTTTTTTCTTTCATTGAGAGTACCAATCAATCAATCCTCCATTTCTTCTTATCCAATTACTGTGTAAGTCCTTCTATTGCATTGATTTTTCGTTACAGATGTTTATTTGTTTCACTGCTGTTTAATCCATTTCCCATGACCAAATCCTGTTCAATTCTGAACTTTTTGGGTAATATCTTTCCGGTATTGCTTCTTGTCTATGGTATTTTAGCCGAAATTAGATTTTTTTTTTCTCTTGCAAAAAAAATAACTATATTGGTAGATCTAATCTAAACAATTAATTGGTGCCTGTTTGGTAACCAATGCAAGATTTGAGATTTGATTGCTGTGTCCAATTTTTGTGAGGATTTGAGCCGGTGGGCGTTGTGATTTGATCTAATTTTTGGAGATCTATTTGTAGTGATTTTCGAACTTTTTGCAAGTTTAATTGACCAAAAGCATCGATCCCCATTGTTTTTTTAGGTGCCTTCAAATCTGGGGCTCCTTTTACTTTTAATGTATTCCTACTTGGGGGTTCGTTATTGCTGTAAATTTTGTTTGTCCGAAGATCGATTTTTATTTTTTTTTATGTAGTTACCAATTTTATCCAAATCGATACTCTAACTGTTACTAAGAAATTCGGATCAATCACGATTTTAAGGCCTCATAAAGTTACCACTTTTCTGCCCCCCTCGTGTATTTCCGGATTTTAAGCTCTCATCTTTGTTGAAAAAATTTACCTTGAAAAACCATTTTTCCAATTACAAATAAATCTTGCAAGTTGCAACTCCTTTTCCATTTTCTTCCCCGGTTAATCTGGGATTCTCTCATGTAGAACACTTTCTCTGTGTTTAATTTATCAGTTGTCCCTGATTCATGTTTCATGGATGCTTGTTCCTGCAGTGAACTTCAATTCTCCAGAAACAGAAAAAAACCAAAAAAAAAACAAGACAGATTATTTGTAATTGTGAAAAAAAGAAAAAAGAAAAAAATAGGCCCATCTCCCGGTTTAGATCAAGAAGACATGTTAGAAGACCGTCCCTGCCTCGTCTCTCGAGACTACCCTCGACCCCACGAGCACGAAACCAATTGGCACACGACTTACCTTCACGAGAAGCCCGACATCCCGCCAAACAAACGCCCCCTCGACTCCACCACCACCACCAAAGACGACCAAATCCTCCCTATTCCAAAACTCCCGAAAACCATTCACACCACCAACACAACCTCCAACACTAATCACGACTCGAGCTCGTCATTAATCCCTGCCATCGGCCGCGACAACTCCATCACCTGCCTCCTCCGTTGCTCGCGGGCCGACTACGGGCCCTTAGCCTCCCTCAACCGCTCCTTCCGCTCCCTCATTAAATCCGGTGAGCTCTACCGCCTCCGCCGCCTCCACGGCATAGTCGAGCACTGGGTCTACTTCTCTTGCCAGCTCCTCGAGTGGGAGGCCTTCGACCCGTCCCGCCGCCGCTGGCTCCAAGTCCCCCGCATGAACTCCAACGACTGCTTCGTCTTCGCCGACAAGGAATCCCTCGCCGTCGGCACCGAGCTCCTCGTCTTCGGCCGCGACCTCACCACCCACATAATCCACCGCTATAGCCTCTTAACCAACTCGTGGGCCCATTCGCCGGGCCCGTCGATGCACGAGCCTCGTTGCCTCTTCGGCTCGGCGAGCTCCGGCGAGATCGCGATCCTCGCCGGAGGCTGCGACTCCGGCGGGAACATCCTAAGCTCGGCGGAGCTTTACAATTCGGAGACGGGCACGTGGACGAGGCTTCCCGGAATGAGGAAGGCTCGGAAAATGTGCTCGGGGGTATTTATGGACGGGAAGTTTTACGTGATCGGAGGGATTGGGTGGTCGGATTCGGGGATTCTGACGTGCGGGGAGGAGTTCGACCCGGCGAGCGGGACGTGGACGGAGATACCGAACATGTCGCCGGTGAGGGGGGCGCCGGCGGCGGCGGAGGGAGGGGAGGTGCCGCCGCCGCCGACGGCGGAGGCGCCGCCGCTGATAGCGGTGGTGAAAAACGAGCTTTACGCGGCGGATCATGCGGAGATGGAGGTGAGGAGGTATGATAAGGAGNNNNTTTTGTTTATAACTGCGCGGTGATGGGGTGCTGAGGTGGAGGGTGTGTTTTCCAACCGAGGGCATGGAGAATGGATCGGTGTTTCTTGGGCGAATGGGGTAATTTTTCTTTTTTTTTTTCTTTTTTTTTATTCTGATTTTTTGTTGTTTTTGTTATCTGATGAGATGGATGGAGGAGGATAGGGGAGGATTTTTTGAGGCAATCTGGAGAAAGTTTTCTTTTTTTTTTTACTTTTTTTTTATTTTTAAAAAGAAAACTTGATCCATAATTTGTTTCATTGAATAATCTTTCTCCAGGATGTGTGTAACATGAGAGAGGTGTTGAGGTTGGTGTTGCATTGGAAAGGAATAGTCATTAACTTGAAGGAGAATTAGGGCTTTTTTTTCTTTTTATATATTTTTTTTTATATTTAGCTTTATCCCCAAAGAAAACATAGAATTTTTTGTTTTGGCTTTCTTCTATTTATGGTCCTTAATTTCTCGGAATCGTTTTAATTGGAGAAATAAAGTCCGAACAAGTTGCTTGGATGGCTGGTGTAATGATGGAGATATGATATTTTTGGAATCTGTGGGCTATGAAATAATCCTCTATTTGTTTCAGTGTTGCTATCTTTTTATAGGTTATCTGTGATTCATGTCACATTTTCTATCTCAACCTTTCGTTTTGTGGAAACCGTAGTCTTATGAAAAGAAACCTTAGTCTTAGGGTTGTAGTTTCTTGTATGAACTGGTGAGATCAATACATGAACGCCATTATATTGGTTGGACCCCATATTTGCTTCGTAATAAAGTAAACGATATCCTGTATTCGTACAATTTCTGATCAGTATCATTTGTTTTGATACTACTTGATCTAAGAAATGACTGCTACTGATTTGATAGTACTTGATCTAAGAAATCATTTTGTAGGAGGCTGTTACAGTACAGCAAAGTTGCTCTTTTGATGCCTCATTTGATTAATCTGTGATATCTACTTCATTCTGTTTGGTTGTGCAAATCTAAATCTTGCATGCATTTATTTTATTAATCTATTTTATGCTTATATCTTAGGTCATTTGAGTATCTTTAGAGAACTTGCATGTCAGTATTAGTTTACATAGCGTGGCCCTTCTATTTCATTTTGATATCTCATCGTGCAATTTTTAGTTTTTTGGCACACGGACGCGATATTTCCTACTGATCATGTCAAGTAATGCAGAAAAATTGAAAGATCAATGAATCATATTCATAGTTTGATATTTATATGTTTATGTTAAATCATTAGAGATTTTTCTGTTTTCGATTGGCAGCTAGATGATTGCATGTATTACAAGTGTTGTGGGTATTCTTGAAGGGTGTATCTGTCTTTTACTGCATCACAGTCGAATGTTTATTGCTTGTATTGGTATGGAAAAGTATTATTAGAGCCTTTATCTCATACAGACTACAACATTTATTGGAGTTAGGTCTGAGCAGCTATTGCAATCATCATTGTCTCTATGTGATGACAAGAAGAGTTGCCTGAAAAAAGATGAATGTCTTTTCTCTTTACATTCAATGAACCCATTTTATGAATGACATGCTGCATGACACAGGATAATATTGTCAAATGCATTTGGCAATGTCTTTTGTTTTTAACAGTTCTAATAAATTCTTTTTTTTTTACTTCTTTTCTTTTGGTGGGGATAAATATGGAAACCTCGAGTTGCTTGCATTAGTCGATCCACAAGTCGCGTGACGTCTAACGTGTTTGTTATTTCACGTGTAACCGATCCGTAAATGCCGTGATTTTTTTCTAAAAAAAGCCTGACGGTTATTTCACGTATAGTCGATCCGTAAATGCCGCGGTCTTTTCCTGATAAAGCCTGAAGGCTAACTGTTTTGATTCCGTTGAAGATGGTGTTCATCATACCACCTTTGGCGTGATTAATGCCAAAATCTCAGAACATGTGAATAGTATAAAGGTGTGGCTTTCACATCATGTTAGGTCTATGATATGCTGGCTTGGTACTTGGTTCATTTTTCTGTTTATGATCGCGTACAACTAACTGAATGAATCTATGGGATTTTTGGTCGGTGTTCCATCAAATATAGACGAGGGGGAATTATTGGAAAAGCATTGATGTCCAATGCTTAATTTATTATAAATATTTGTGTGTGAGTCTCACCGTTAGACATGTTATTTCGTTTTTATTCTAGATTCAATGCATACTTATTGCTTTCTATATATAAATTTGGAGTTTTTCGAACTTATATGTCAAGTTATTGGTACTCAATAATCATATATGTCAAATTATGGAGTTCTGAATTTATCATGCAGATTTGGACTGTTAGTCATGATTAATGTGACATTCAAAATTATAAAATACTTGACTATAGTCAATTAGATATAAATATAATGTAAAACTTAATATTTTTTTTAGTTTTTGTTTATAAATGTTTTATATATAATATATTAAATTAATTATAACTAGTACGATACCCGTGTATTACACGGGTGTTGAATTGAAAAACTTTTGTAAAAAATATTAAATTTTTTATTTTTTTCAAAACTAAAATAATTTAATTTTATATAAAATATGACTTTTGGTTTTAATTAAATTGTCAAATTATATTTTTTTAATCATAATAATTAAACACTCGTACATTGAATGAAAATGTCAACCCGTGTTGAATTTGTTTACTTATATCATATAAAAATATCGATATTATTTACTATTACATTAATACAAAAATATATATCTTAAGTAAATTGAAATATTATGGTCATATGTACATTCATAAGTGTAGAATATGTTTATTTAATATTAAGCAAAATAGATTAATTTTTTTACTTAAATAGATGTCTAATACATCAAGTGTCGTATCAGTCGTGCTTCACAGTTTTTTAACTTTATATGAAATTTTAGAATGTATATAATAATTATTTATTTTTATTACATTGACAACATATCAATTAGATTTGAAATAAATATCATTTTTAAACGAGTACATACTAATTTCTATTACTTTATAATATAATTTATAGTTTTATTTAATATAATTTATTAGTTTGATAAATAAATTTAAATTTTATCTATAAGGATATATATTACTGTTTTGTATCTATTCATAGATAAAAGTATTTTATATCCTTATTAGTAATATATTACTAATAGGCCTAATTCATAGATAAAAGTATTTCATATATATATAATAAATAAATAGTAAAATACAAACGGACTTCATAATATCAATTCAAATGCAATACACTAATTAAGATTTTTTTTTCTTGACAATATTAACTCTATTTAATGGATGTTATGGAAAACGATGGATATGAGATATGAAGGGACACTGTGTATTAGATGGAGGGTTAAAAATGGAAAAATATGAACAAAAAATCTAAAACGACATTTATTTTATCAATGATCAATTAAGCCAAAATGACAAATAATAAAAATAGGAGGGAGTATATATTATTATATATTTTAGTATGACACATGTTACTTGTGCGACTTATAAAAATAGGAGGGAGTATATATTATTATATATTAATTGATGATAATATTATTTTCTAATTAATTTTAATAATTTTTTTTTTTATTATTATAAAAATAAATATAATTTATTTATTTTATATATACAATATGGATGTCAAATCGAAGCTCATCAAAAGATCATTAATTTGATATATTATATATGTAAAACCGATAAAAAATACAAAAATTATTAACTTTTAAAATATATTTTCAATTCAATGGTTATAATAGGAAACGATATTAAAATACAATTAATATAAATATTAATTTATATCCAAGTCTAACTCCAAAACATGATTTTTTTCCAAATAGGATTCCGAAGCATGAGAATTTGCCACGTAAGCTCAGCGCATTCTGAAATTATATATAGAGGGGATTTGATGATTTTTTATTTGACATCTATATTTTATATATAAAATAAAAAATAACTTTCAATTTTCATTCCTTGGGCCATTCATAGAATGAAGTCTTTCGATATTGACTTACGCAAATTGTTAGTGTTTTTATTTTTTTTTCAACGATAGATTCATTAATGAAAATACATAATTATAACCGACTAATTAGTCGAACACATAAAGTCTGCTCAAGGTAGCCTAAATACCATAGTACAACAAAAAATAACTAAAAAACCTTCAACTAGTGGAGAATACACACTCTCAAATGGAGAATGCACTCTACCAAAGAGGAGAACAAAACAACAAATACACGCTTACAAACGAACACAAAAACAAACATTAAGCAAAACATCAAAGTTAAACCAAAACCCTCCTCAACAGCGTATATGTAAAAGATAATCGGAAGTACTTTCTGCTTGCGACTTTCTCACTCTAAGGAAAAGAAAAAAAAATCCCCTTCTTCTCGCCGAGACTTTCTTCAGATCTGCTTTACCCGACGGATCCGCTGGGCACCTTGACGAAGGACAGCCCCTGGCTACACGATTCGGCCCCTATTTGTGTCGAGGCCCGGCTTTTCGGACGATGGAGCTCGGTTGGCCGTGATCGATAGGATCTCGCGACTCCATGGCTGTCGTTTCGGTGCTTTGATCGCCGGTTTCCATGGCCGAGGCGAGGAGGGATGTTGTGCTTCTGCGGGGTTGGGTGGTGGTGTCGGTTGCCTTGTGTAGGTGTCGACATAGAGGTGGTCGGTTTTTTTCCTGGGTCTTCTTCTCCCATGGTGTTAGGGAGGAGATGACGGCCGGCGTGATGATCCCGAGCCGTGGTGTGGGTTGGGCTTGGAGCGGTGGTGGTGTGCTTGGAGATCTGTCTGTTGTCCTCCGACTGAGGGTTAGGGTTAATTTCCGGGCGCGGGGTTGGGATTCAGGTTTCAGACCCAGTGTTGAGTTTTACTGATGATGAGTGTCAATTAAATAAAGACTAATAGATTGTCCTTCAAGACCTGCAAAAACTCAACATCGGAGGAGTTTTTGGTGAAGAGCCACCGATGTTTAAGTTAGCACAATGAAGAAGATGATGAATAGTATCTAAATGTATAGTGTGTAATGTTCTAGAGGGCATACCTCATCCCTTTTCATAGGAAGATGTTACCTTATTCCCCAAGTGTCCAGCCAAAACTGCCCGAACTACCCAATTCTGTTACGCCACGTGACCCCATCCACATATGGTTCTTATCCTATTAAATATTCTTTCGTATTCATTAGTCTGTCTTATTAGACTGTTTAATCCAGCTTACGTATCATGTCCTTCTGGTCGTGATCATACGATCGCTCATACGTTCAGGTCGAGTTTACACCAGGCCGTCCGAGGGCCCGAACTCGACCTGTCCGTGCCTCTTTCAACCTCTAATGCCTTCTTCAACCTGAAGGCTCCTGCATCGTACTGTCGTTCGACCTCCGTTAAACCTGTCTGTGCTCCTGTTTGACCAACCGGTCCGCGTCTGGTGGTTTATCAGGTTTGTTCTTCCTGGTGTGGTATCCCATATCATCTTGTCCCCCCACTTTGGTCGAGTTAGGATAACTCGATATAAAAGTAGATATTTGTTTTGATTTTGGTTAATGAGTTCCAACTCTTATTTTTCGACCTGTCTACTTGCATTTCTTTTAAATTTGCAGCTATATTCTTGACCTCCCCCTGTGTTCTTGAATTCAAACTTCGAAATTTAAATCTCTCCCTCTTGTCAGATTCCACCAGTCACAACGTCCTTCCACTTCTTCTATCCGTAATTCGCACTGGCCTCGTACAGGGCCGTCTCCAGAAATTTGGAGGCCCTAGACAATTTATTTAAGAGAGGCTCGTAATCGTATTCTTATATTTTTAATTTTTATTAATTGAACAAATAATAATAAATATTGTCAATAATAAGTACGAAAAAAACCATGAATATGAGAAAATTTAGTAATTTAGAATACAAAAACTTACAACCTTCTCGTCTTCTTTTGTACAACAATTCATATCATGGTTATCATTCATACCCTCATTATCATTCGCATTATCTAACTTACTTTTTTCTTCTTCAAATTTCCCATCCCCCTATCATTATCTTCTTAATCAATTTGATTTTGATCCATTAAATCTCGACCAATTTCAACTACGGGTGTATCAATTAATTCAACACAATTTCAATAGGACCAAATACTTCAACTTCTACTACAGGAGCTGTAGGTTTTACATACCTATCCATTGAACCGGTGAGAGATTTTGTTAATATCTCTTGCTTTTCTTTCTTTTTCCTTTTCGAACTTCCCGTTTCGAATTTGTTTTTGCCCGTCATAACTCGTCTAGCAACAATAATATATGAATAAATTTATTTACAATACTAATTAATAAAAAATATAGTCAAATACCAAGAAAAAGAAAACACATAATGAAGCTAAAAAGCTAAATTTATTTACAATTTCTTCTTCAAATTATAACAAGTTATCATGCTAAAATGCTATTATGCTCTGGCCTCTGAAACTCATAAAATCTTACAAAAACAATTTAACAACAACTCAACAAGCTACATATCCCTTTCAAACCAATTTAATCATCCAACATCCGCATAATGAAGCTCAAAAATAACAAAAATTAAAACATGTACCGAAATGCTTTGGCCTCTGAACTCATAATATCTTACAAAAACAACTCAACAAGCTACATAACCCTTTCAAGCCAATTTAATCATCCGCATAATGAAGCTAAAAAATAACAAAAATTAAAATATGTACCGAACCCTAGAGACACAAAAAATATTTAGAAAATAGAAAAACTTCCTACCGGGTTGATTGAGAAGCCTAGCAGCGGCGCCGAGCGTGAGGCGGTTGTAATGAGGGCGGAGGCATTTGGTCGTCGAATAACTAAACTCCACGGCAGAAATTGCGAAATTGGGATTGAGCGGTGGTAATTAGGGCGGAGGATTTGGCCGTCGAGCAACAAAACTCCAATGCCGAAATTGCGAAATTGGGATTTGGTTTAGTAAAGTTCAATTGCAATTGAAAGTGACTGGCAGACCGTAAAAGAGATTGCAGCCTCTGAACTTCATGTAAATTAATTGGGCCAAGTCCAACACAATGTAATATATATTATATGAGGCCCTAGGCTGGAGCCTTATCTGGCTGGCCCCCTGGCCTCGTACAATGTACCCATTAAATGCTTTTTTAATAATAACCCTTCGATCTACTTTTAATCCGACAGTTGAGAAATTGTGGTCTCTTCAACTTGCGCGCCTGATCTTAGCCATTGATCATGACCACAATCCAACGGCTTCCACATTGTAAACTTATTTTCTTATTCACCATAATCGATACTAAAAGACTTCAAGGCCCTTAGGCTTTCCTATAAGTTCATTGACAATCACATTCTTCTCCTAACCATGTTCTGAAATCGATATTAGAAGACTACAAAGCCCTTGGGTTCATTGAAAATCATATTCTTTCTCTTAACCGTTCACCGTTAGCTAATGCTTTTAGATCCCTCTTAATATGTACTAAATTACTGCGATTAGATATAAAATAAATTATCTTTTGAGTCGATGGATAATTGTTTTACATAACATGATTGGAAATAAATTTTCTTTGCAAAATCCAACATATTAACTCTTCTCAATATTACCAATATAATTAAATATCAATTAATCATTATCATACAATTTCCAACAAAAATAATTATTTCAACACTCATATTTTTACATCACATTAATTTTAATCATTACATTTTAACTCATATAAAAACAGAAACTCAAAATCCAACTCAAATCTTCATTTATTCAACTTTCTCACATTAAACTCACTTTATCTAATAAATCAAATAAAAAAAATTCCAATATCTTTCAAATGTCTAGAGTTTGGAGTAATCTCACCATAGTGATTCGAATTTAAACTAAAATCAACACATACCGGACTTGCATTTTTAGGAAGGAGGTGTCAGATATCAAACTTAAGATGGGTTTACATATAACAGATCCAACATGGCCACAAATGAGGACAAAGGGAAAAGAAAATAGAGATATTAGCATCAATAGACCAAGCCAAAAGCTTAAATCACAGTAAAACTGTGAAATATCCAGCAACAACTGCAACACGTCATAGCATAATATTGTGCATAACAAATTAAAAGAAAAACGTACAACGGTTCACTCCTCTTCATCCTCGTCTCCATCACCTCCAGAAGCTTTCTTGGCAGCCGCCTTAATATTCTTTCTCTTAACCCTACCAGCTCGGCCACCGCCAAACGGGCTAGTCAGAGAGAAATCAATGTGCTTCTGCGAGTCCACCCTCACCATGAACGAGGGCACATTCACAACTTGCCTTCCAACCCTGTACAAATAGATATATGTGTGTGTGCATCTCCTTAAATAAAGCATTTATTAAATTAAAAAAAAAAANAGGACCTGATATGCCTCTGCCTGATAAGCACCCTGGCGTGGTGGATGGACTTAGCCATGCCAGCCTTAAACACGAGAGTTTGCAAGCGGCGCTCAAGGAAGTTCTCGACAGTGAGGGCCAAGACATAATCGAGCTTGTTCTGGCTCTCATCAAGCAGCCCATATCTGTTCATTCTCCTCAAGAGCGCCTCACCCTCAAAAATACGACGTGGATCCTTCTCATCAAGGGTCAACAGGTTTCTAGCATTATTACGGATTCGGCTAAGGGCATACTGAACCCTCCACAGCTCCCTCTTGCACCTAAGACCGTATTCACCAACGAGCTTCAGCTCTGCATCTAACCGCTCTTTCTCATAAGGGCGGCGGGGCTTCTTAAAGGTCTTGCCATCTGTAACCATCATGTGTAAAAATCAAAGCTTTTTTTTTTTTTTTAATTTTGTAATCACATGATTTATTACTCATCTTATGGGTTTAGAAAATGTAATTAGTACACTTGCAAACATACAATATTTCCAGAGTAAAATTCTAAGGTTTTGTTAGCAAGTACAATATTTGGTTAATAAGATGTAAAGAGATCTTTCTTGTAGTCTGTCATCTATCATTATATAAAGAGATTAACCATTTAACAATTTTAGCAGTTATTTCCCGCCAAATACATTTAATGCCTACTAAATATAGATTTTCGGACATTATTAATCTGTTGGCCTTCAAACTCGGACCTAACAATTTTATCCCGTATGATTTTGAATAGCTATCCTAAAAGATATTTATTTTACAAATATAAAGATAAAGATTATTTTACAAATAAAAATTCTAAAGAAGTATTTGATTCACCAGACTCTTTAACTGCTATGTTGGCCTTCAAACTCGGACCTAACAATTTGATCCCGTATGATTTTGAATAGCACTCCTAACAGATATCTATTTTACAACAATAAAGATAATGATTATTATACAAATAAAAATTCTAAACAAGATTAACTGAATTCTTATGATTGCTATCTTATTTTAAAATAATTTAGGTTATAGTTTTAGTTTTATTTTTTTATTTTTAACAGCCGCATTGTGTAGATGCTGTTTTTCATTTCATCGAGTAGAACTTGGTTCGAAATTTTTAATATTATATTTGAATATTACTTATTTTTATATATTTTTTAGTTTATTTCAATTATTAGCTATCACAATACATATTACTTATTCATACATTACAACATACATTGAATACCATTTTTTCGAACATTTAATTTATACTTATATAAAGAGCCATCTCATTTATTAGAATTAGTAGAAAGAAAAGTCAAAAGTAATTAATGCATTATATTTCTATCAATTAATTTTTATTTAATTGTTTTTTCCCATAAAATCGGTACAAAAAATAAATGTACATAAAACAAAAAAAGGCATATTTGATCGGAAGATAAAATCTTGATTTTACACAAAATAAATCAGATGTCAAACCTAAATTGAAGGGTTTGGTTATCTATATAGATATTGATTTACGTAAATCAATACATCTAATATTTATAGTTTGTGTAGATTTAAATTTTCTTCTTATCTTTGTACAAAAAATCTTATCTAATTGTATGGAAAATCTGATCTACGTGATTTCCGTATATCAAGAATTTTTCTTAAAAATCTTAACAGATATTGATTCTACTCTACCAATTATAAATTATAAATCTCAAAATATTGAGTCATCGTCTTCCTCACTTTAAACCTCCTACGAAAAAAATATCCCCAATCAGTATTTCATTCAAAATAATGAATCAAGGATTTAGCTTAATCAAACAAGTTAATAGGTTTTTCATCCAATACTATCTTATTATACAATTTTTCTACGTATTATAAATTTTTTATTTAATATTGCATCTTATAATATAATATTCCCAAATAAATATATCCCGTGCCTCGCACGGGTCACGTACTATATATATCCCGTACATTATTATATATATCCCGTACATTTTTCTTTATTCATGTATATAATTATAAGCTAGGATAAATAGTTTTAAAATTGTGCGCCACGTGCATCGCACGGGCTCTGCACTAGTTTTGTTAAAAGCTATATGCTCACAAGTTCTTATAGTCTGTCATTAATAGTCTAGATCTTATAGTCTGTCATTTTGTTAAAAGCTATATGCCCACAAGTTTTTTTCTGCGCAATTACAACAAATACCTATGAAACTATGCATTACACATGTTTTTCGTCTTTGCTGCAGGCGCTGAATAACATGCACAAAATTATGAAACAGAGACAAACTAAAATTAAACACTTCTGGTGCGATATGATATAGAAGATTTTCGAAACATACCGTGTCAATCAAAAATAGATATAATAAAGTGGAATTAAATGAGGCCATGAGAGGATATAAGAATGTGAATTGATGTATGGTAAATGTAATGATTAGACTTAATGTAATTAAGTATTGAATGAATGATTGATAGTTACAAATATGTAAGTGTGTGAATAGTGTTTTTTGTTTGAAAATATATAATAGTAATTAATTTTTATTTGTCAATTGTGTTAGTGAGATTGTAGAGAAGAAAGTAAGATGGAATGACTCGATGAAATAGTATTTTTTGTCAAATTTCTTTATTTTATTTCCAACTTCAGTGCGATAAATCTCGAGTAACAGACAAAAACGAAAAGCAAAAAAAGTAAATCTAATCGGCACAATGTAGCCAGACAATTTGTTTTTCTAGAAAAGATGAAATGAACTTGATTTTCCAAACACCATTCCTTTCTGGCAGTACAATTGTTTCATCAGCCCCAGATGAATAACAATCACAACTAAGCCAATAAAATGGTTAAAAGTTCCCAAAACAACAAAAGTGACACCAATGTCACAACAAAAGGAACGAAGACAGGAAAAAGATGAACCAAAAATCATTCACTACAAACACAAAATCCAAAAGCACAATTTTCTCACAGAAGAAACAGGGACAGCTTCGCAAAACGGATCAGATATACAAAAATAGGGAAAAATGCAAGGTAAATTACGCAAGTAACAAAGCTTATTAATTCTAATACAGCTTCGGTGACACTAATCACAATCGTTGCCAGACATTAAGTAGAAGCTTTCAGCCATTTCGGCGAAGATAAGGATGCTTACAGTTGCGGTAGAAAGAGACGTGAACCATGATTCTGTGCGGCCGTCGTCCTCGCAAAAATGTTACAGACTCGAGGGTTTCGGGGCTTCGAGCAGAGAAGCACTGAGAACGGGGTAATGTACCCAATTTTATTTTATTTTTTTTATTTTTTTTNTGCTATGACAAACACATCTACCTTAATTGATGGATTCATTCCATCATACAAAAAAAAAAACAATTGCTTTGAATTTTTAAATTTCACTAGATCATTCATTTTTCTTCTTGTAGTTGTGAAAGAAAATATGGCCGACGAGAGCAAAGTTGAGATTTCGGCGAAGCACGATTTGAATATGAAATGGGATACCTGCCTCGATTTAGGTCTCTGCCGCTTTGTGTACGCTTCTATCGTCGGCAGTTTCGTCGAAATTCTTCTCTTCCGTGAGTGTTTATTTCTCCATATCCTCAAGCTCTAAGTGTTATTTTGGTTGCAATATCAAATCAGGTTCAAAGCCCAACAGGCTTCAGCTTTGGCTTTGGCCTCGGCTCGGCAGGCGAGAGAGACGGCATCGGAGGTGGAGGATCTGGCTTGGGAGATTTATAAGGCATGATGCAGTCCAAGTCAGCTGATTTCTCGGCCTTCTTGAAGCCGATGAGTTTGGCGGAGGTGGGGGAGGAGGGAGGAAGGGATGACAGTGATGTTTGAGTAAATATTTGCGGCGATGGGACAGATGTTGTCGGAGAGATGACAGTGATGAGGAGAGAAGAGAGCTGACCGATAAATTTCATAGGCCAAAAAATATTTTTAGTATGTGTTGTGTTTATACGCAGTATATTTCCAGTATATATTGTGTTTTTTATTTATATAACATTATCTAACTACAACTGTGATGTGTAAATTTTGTTTATACCTTTTGTTTATATTTTTTACTTAATTTTATACCAACAAACTGTACAACGTTGATATGTAAAACATATTATAAGTACTTTGAGGATGTAAAAAAAATTATACATTATAGATTACATTTTTTTTTTGCTCAACTAAAATTCAATTTATGTTTGGTTTACAACCTGTAACTGTGTATATAACATATAAGTAGATATGTATACAATTTACGTCTCCGTAAATATATACAATTTACTTTTTCATAATATATAATGACAAAATCGGCCAAGTCGACAATTATAATAAAAAGAGGTCAAAGTTTAACGATGAGCATCATAATCTTGTGCAAGACGAATAATTTCAGTTATTCTTGGAGCAAATGGGCAGCAACTTTGGATACCTTAACAAATACACGAAATGAAGTGATTTTATTCCGGACCTGCATGGATTCCTTTTCTACTTTTTGTATTATAAGTGAAAATGGATGTCCAAAACGAACCAGAACTGAAATTTGCCAGTATCTTTTTTAGTTTACAGTAAGCTTTGCCTGGGGAAACCTAAAACATAGTAAAACAACTACTTCACTCATTTCGAAGAGTATAAAATCTGAGCCTGAGGAGTAGAAATTATATTGTTGTTCGAAGACCTGACCTGATAATTTGGCCTGCTTAATATATACTACATAGCATTTTATGTTACACACCGCCTCATATAAAAGCATTTGCATTCGAGTCTTAACTGGCCGAATTCGTGCGAGTCATCAAATAGAATGCGATAACAAGAGATCGTAACTCGTGAAAATTTCTTCATTTCTCGCGAAAGTATACTGGAGCTACACTACCAAGTTCAAACTGGGGCAAAAAAAGAAAGGAAATATATAGTAACGCGCACAAAAACAGATTTACAGATACCGCCCAAAAGAGGAAAGAAAGAGTAACAAAAAGAGAACAAACCAAAAATCCCGAGTGAAAGCAGAAGGTACTACTCTACAGTTGTGATGTTGTGTTGCTCGCATACTCTCGTCCCGTTCTCCGCCCACCACTTCTCCGCCTTTTCTTCCGTAAAACGTTTCCTACTGTTGGTGGGCCCCACCGCAAATATTTAGCAAGTCTATGAAAATGCTTAAAATACGAAGTAAAAATGATTGTATTTACCTGAAACGAACTCGTCTTAGTTCATTTGCACCATTGGGCAAGGTGACAAGCGTTATGTACACACCAGGCTCGTCCTGCACAACCCGCTTTGTTTTTTTCACTTCAGCCTTAGTTCCATTTTCTTTCGGTGGTTCATTTGCAGCTTCACTAGATTCGCACTTTGGAGAGCTTACGCTACTCACACTACTTCCTTGGGATGGATAGTTCGGTTCGCTTATCATTTGCTCAACGGCTTCCAAATGGCTGCAGGCGACTTGGTCGTCTGGCATTTTTTCCGACATCTCTTTTAACTGCATGAAATTGGAACCCATATTTGTGTTAAGACTTCGTGCAAAATCAGCCGACAAAATTAAAACTATATAATACGGCAGAAGAGTATCAAACCTGGGCAGTCAGAGACTTGATCACTTCTTTAGCAGCTTTGGCCTTTTCAGCTTCATCCACTGCCCGTGCTGTCATATCCTTCAGTTGCTGTCGTTTCGTTTCCAGTTCAATTTCGAGAAGCTGGGATTTGTTCGTTAAGCTCTCGAGCTGAAACATGTCCACCCAAATTCTATTACTTATCCATCCTCAATCCAACTTAAAACCATTAATAGGTCAACACGAGAAAGAAATATCCGAACTCAGTTTAATTATCATCAACTTTGACAATTAATTAAATACAAATAATGCTATTCCTGCAATATCTTATGTTTGGTAAAAATAGCTGATAAACTAGCTTATAGCTTATAACTTATGACTTATAGCTGAAAAGTTAGCTTATATGATAAAAGTGTGGTAAAATTAGTTGATAAGCTACCTGAAATAAAAATTTCTTCAACGAGATTATTTGAAAAACTAAGCAAAGAAGCTATAACAAACATAGCCTAAAACTCAAAGCATCTCCAAGAATTCCCAAAAAAAAATTGCAAAGAGCTTCACCTGTTCCCTCAAACTCCTGACATCAAAGCTCAGCCCCTCACCGCCATCCCTAACCTCCTCCCCATTTACCTCCGACGAGAGTGGCAAAGGCGTGGATGACCTCAGCAGATTCTTCCCCGGAACTGGAGACGGTGACCGGTAAATCATCTTCCAGTCAGACACAACAAATGACAGAAAATTCTGTGACGACCCAAACGGGCTCCTCGGCGACTTGGACGAAGTGCTCGTCCTTTGACCGCTCAGCGGGAACACTCGATTCTCCCCCGACTCAAACTTCGCACTCGAGCTCATATTCCTGTCCGACTTGAACGACTCAGCCGACGACAACCTCAGATCACTCCCCTTCCCGTCTTTCTTCCCGTCTGCCAGCTTAGCGAAGCAGTCATCGCAAACGCGGTAAGGCTTGCTCGTGCTCGGCGCCAGCGAGGCGCGGAAAGACTTCTGCGAGCTGCACGCCTTGCAGAACACGAGCCCGCAGTTGTAGCAGTTGTGCCGTTTGCGTATGAAATTAAACTGGCCGCGGCAGCCCGAACAGACAGAATTGTCGGCCGTCGATATCCACTTGTGTAGGCAAATCACGGCCGTGAAATTCGAACCGCACGCGACGCTCCTCACCCGCTTGTCCTTGAGCGACTCGACGAGCGTCGGAATATTCCGGTCCTCGATATCCCCGTGCCCGAGCTGCCCGTTCGAGCCCCTGCCCCACGTGTACACCTCCGATCTCGACGTCAGCACGGCCACATGGTGGGACCCGCAGGCAATCTCCTCGACGAACGACTCCGCTATGGCGTCTCTCATGCAGATCGGGAGATTGCCACGCTGGCACCCGCCGGCGCTCCCCATCGCGTAGACCCATCCGGAAGTCGTCAGAGCCACCGTGAGGCTATTCCCGCACGCCACCTGGCAGAAATCCACGCCGGCCAATGACGATACCAATTCCGGAACAAGCCTCGGCTCGAAATCCCCGTGGCCAAGCTGGCCTCTGTCCCCGTCCCCCCACGTGAAGAGCTTCCTGGACATTGCCCGCCCGGGCGGCGGTGGCGGCTGGCCGGAATCCGAGCACACCTCCACGACTGCCGCCGTGTGCCACGCGCCGCACCCGGCCCTCACCGTCCTCATCCCTTTCAAACCCTCGACCTCGCGCGGGGAGCAGGTCCCACACCGGTCCCCGTGCCCTAACGCGCCGAACGTCCCGTCCCCGAACGTGAACACGCGGCCAGCCGACGTCACCACGGCCGTGTGCCACGGCCCGCACGCCACCGAAGAGACCTGCAGGCCGTCGAGCGGGCCCTCGACCCGCTTTGGGAGCCAGTGGGCCGGCCCGCCGTCAGCAAAGCCCGCATCTCCCCACGTATACAGATCGCCGGAGAGGGAGACGGCGCACGTGTGGCGCTCGCCGCACACGACGGCCTCGACGGGCTTCCCGGCGAGGGCCCGGACGAGCCTCGGGTTCGGAATATCGGATTCGAAACCGTGGCCGAGACGGCCCCCTTCCTCCTCCCCCCAGCTGTACACGTCACCCTGCCGGGTGACAACAACGGCGTGCCTCCTCCCGCAGGCCACGTGCTGCACGTCGAGGACCACGCTCGACTCCAGTGCCTTGGGGAGCAAGGCATCGCTTTTCGGGTTGGACGAGCGGTCGAGCCTCGTCAGGCCATTCCCTACGCACTCGCCCCACATGAAGACATCGCCAAGATTTTCAAAGTCCTCCACGCAAGAGCCGTGGCTCGACGTGCTCACGGCGCTCGAGAGGCTGACGCGGATTGTGTCGGCTCCAGAGGTCCGCTCGTTCGAGACCTCGGATGGTCTTTCGGGGTACGAGCTGCTTGCTGGCTCTGCTAGTTGAAGAGTCTTGGTGGCTGAGGTGTACGAAAGCACGTCTGCAAAGGCTTTCCCGAGTCGGCTCTGGGGAGATTTCTCGAGCCGAGACTGGGTAGCTTCTTGATCTTGAGGAAACTGAATTAGAATGATGAATGATGGAGATGAATTAG